AATCACTAAGTTGGACGGTAATGTTGGGCCCATGGGGGCCCACCACAGGTCCTATTCTGATAATCCAAACCATTTCATGTGTAGAATTCATCCAGAACTATATGCCTGTAAAAAATTACATTGATCGGATATTACTAACTACATGATCAAATTAGTTTTGTATAAAAAATGGATGGTGTTATAGTTAACAGTTGACAAAAAAAACTAACACGATCAGATAGCTATCGATATCCAATCAACGTGATTTTTTGCAAACATATAGTACTCGACGAGTTTTACACATTGAACGGTTCTGATTAACAAAGCAGGACCTGTGGTGGGCCCCCATGGGCCGAAGAACACCGTCCAATTCAAGCCCGAAAGGAGGCAATCATTTTCCATCTCATAACCAACCCACTACCCTACCCAACCTGTATGGCCTAATTCACTATCTTCTCCTACACACTTATTTATACAATTTTTTAATACACATTTTTTCGTAAAAAGTTAAAAAGTTAACCCAAATATCTATCTTTTTTTCCTTAACTTTGAGTTTTACACATTGAACGGTTCTGATTAACAAAACAGGACCTGTGGTGGCCCCCCATAGGCCGAAGAACACCGTCCAATTCAAGCCCGAAAGGAGGCAATCATTTTCCATCTCATAACCAACCCACTACCCTACCCAACCTGTATGGCCTAATCCACTATCTTCTCCTACACACTTATTTATATAATTTTTTAATACACATTTTTTCGTAAAAAGTTAAAAAGTTAACCCAAATATCTATCTTTTTTTCCTTAACTTTTTCGTCTAAAAAAAAAAATGTACTTATTTAGGACACCTCAAACAACCCCTAAAGTAGGGTATGATAGATTGAAAGATGAGAACTTTGGAAAATGACAATGGGGTGAGTAAGAAAAAAATATTTTTAAGGTAACAGTAGAAGTAGCATTTAGTATTTTTCTCATAATGGATGTATATTGAGATTTTTTTTTTCTTTAAAAGATGTGTATTGAGAAAAAATGAATCTCAAATGAAGTGTATACTAATGTCTGTATTAGTAATTTTGTTTTAGGTTAAAATTGTAATAAAAATATTTTTCATTAAGTGTGTGCACGGAGTAAAAATTGTGTGTGAAAATAGAAGCTTCCGAAGTATAATAACTAAAATATCAATTTTTGTTTAATTTTAGTTAATGAAAATAGATAAATGGTTAATATTGAAAATAAATTAAAAGATTAGGATTTAAATTTATAAAATTAAAAAATCTAAGTTTATTTCATTACAAGGCTCAAATCCTTGAGTTTTTTTATATTTATTTTATAATTTCCAATACTTATATATTTACTCTCTCTCTCTCTCACACAAAATAATGGATGTTTTTGACAAATACATTCATTTTTTTTTTTTCCTCATTTTTCTAATCCAACCAAACAAGATAAGAAGGAAAAGAAAAAAAAGCTTCTAGTTCATTTTTTGCTCTAATTTTTTCGTTCTTCTTGTTTTTTTTTTTTTTTTTTCTTCTCAAGCAAGCCCCCTCTATTAATCAAATATATAAATACAACCTTGTTAGAAATTGGACGTCCATGTGACATGACCCTTTGAACCTGAACCTTTTGAACCTTATCCATATAAGTTTGAATTTGAATTCAAAACTTATTTGGATAACCATTCAGGATATATATATCTATCATATCAATAGATATAGATAGATGGATAGATTGATATATATGTGGTCATATATCAGATTATATGGTTAATCTAAAGATATACGTATATTAGATATACGTTATGTGATTTATACCTATAACCTTTTTTTTCCCAGACTCTCTCTCTCTGACTCTCTCCCAGAAAACAACGATCAAGCCATTTTGCACTGTGACTTGTGTGGGTGATACTCATTTTGTAGTATCACTCCACTGCTGGGTTCATTGACTGATCAGATTTTGGAAGCACGTGATTTACCCACGTGGTTGTGTCATTAAGGTATGATCCGAATTATTTTTATCGGCTGCGTTAATTTATAATGTTTTATGATTTACATTGGTATCAGAGCGTAATATGGGCATTTTCGTGCTTAGTTGTATGCGATAAAATATGTGTATAATTTTATACAAATATACATACATATTATTTGCATGAAAATTAGATTGAGAATGTGATACATCTGATTTTTATATACATTAAATGTCATTTTTGAGACTATAAATGTATTTATTGTGAAAAATGGAGTCCGGTAGTACCAAAATTAGACCAGAAAACACCGTGGAAGGCGGCGTATATGCCTCACGCGCTATACAACGCCGCCCAACGGTTCCACGCGCTTCGACGCGCCACCACACGCTAGGCGCTCTTCCCACGCGCTCTACGCGCGCGTTAGCCGCGCCGCTTTGCGCCGGGCCATGTGCGCAGCTACGCGTGCGCCATGCGCCACGCTGCCGTTGAGCCGCCTCGCGCCAAGTTGCGCTGAGTTGAGCGGCGCGATCCGAGCTGAGCCGTTTTTCCCAGCTGGCTTGGTTCTAAGGCTCTGTTTGTTCTTTTTTTAATTCTGAATTACATTAAATGGTCATAAGTAATTCGTTATAGCTTTGTTTTAAGCATGGTTGGTATTGTTATATTCAGAATTACATTTTCTATCTTCTATAAAATTTTGAAAATTTTATGAAAATAAAAAATATTTTTCCTGAAATAATAATTCATTATTTCTGCTTTAAAATGCATCTAGTGTTGCATGATTAAGTTTCTGAGGCTAAATTTTTTATTGTAGACTATTGTTGTAGTTTACTATTTACTAGTATGGTTATTGCATTTTACCAGATTCTAAAATATTTATTTCTAATTTTATGTGTGTTTATTAGTTATTTAAAATTCCAGAAAAAATTTTAGAAAAATTCAGAAAAATTTCAGAATGATATACTTTCTGTTATGGCATAATCTGAATATTAAATACAGCATATTGTTATTTTTTGCATATGTTGTAATTAGAATAGCATGATTAATTATTTTTTTATTTTAATTCTGTTATTAAATGTAACATAACATGAGTTGATTGTGAATTTACATTATGATGCTATTGTATGGAATTAGAATATTTTATCATACTTTTAGACATGCCATAGTCAGTGGGAGGTTATTCGGTTGAGAGAAATCTTTGTAAATTAACTCCTGAAAACCAATATTTTTTTTGCGCATAAATTAAATTAAATTTTGGATAATTGTCACCTGTGGCGCAAGAGATGATTACGAGCATAACGAATTTTCGATCTTGCGACTTGTGTAATATTGTCACTATTTAATTTAGATTTTTGTGGCAAAATTATATTATGCTAATCAAATTAATCCCAATGCGAATTTCTCTCTAAATTGAAAAATTTCAAACAAACATGAGAACAAATGTTCCAACTTTTGCAAATTGGTCTCTACTTGCATGTATCACCTAGTAAAGTTAAATTAATAATCGGAACAAGAGTATATAATGTAGATAAAAATCACATCTTGATTAGTAGAGGCCGATCTTTGATCGAGCGAGTGGGGTGCTCAATTCCACAATATATCACTTTAGAAAACTTTAAGAAAAAAATACTCTAGAGGATCCTTGGTGCATTTTATCTTATTGACTTTTTAATTTGCTTTATTTTTTATGGCTATTTTAGCCAAAAAGTCACAAACTTTTTCATTCCAAATGAGGGCATTGTTTAGTTGTCAATATGGAATATGATCATAATTTTAGTTTTTATGTTTAATTATAATGAAATGAAATAAATTTTTATTAGTATTATGTTTTTTCAACAAGTTAGTAATAAATAAATTAAGATTTATATTGATAAAAACGTCACTAATTGTTAATTTTTAGTGATAGTTTGAAAATTTTCATAAAAAATATCACTAATTATAAAGCTTTAGCGTCAATTTAAAAAAATTGTCACAAAAAAGTCACTAATTTTTAACTTTCAATGATAGTTTGAAAAATTAGTCAAAGAAAAAATCACTAATTGTCAATTTTTAGCGATATTTGTAAAAAATCATTACAAAAAATTAGTTTTAGCAACAATTTAGTAGAACTTATTTTCAATAGAATTGAATAAAAATTAAGTTTAATTATTAGAACCTATTGATAGTTTATCCTAAAAAATTAGAGAAAGTAATATCACAACTTATAATAACTTTTAGATAAAAATTTATCATCCCAAGCAAAGTCTTAGTTATTTTGGAAAATATTTAATTATTTTTTTAATTATTTTTTGAAAAGACATTTAGAAAAGTAGAAAAAATATTGCGAAACCTACCAATGTCAAGTCCTCGCACTACTAGAAATCAACTTTTTAGGGACAAATTTATTCCGTCCCTAATAGTGTAATATTTGTTGGGAAAAACTTTTGCCAACCAATTTTCTCCGTTGCGAAGTTTGTCCCAAATGGCCCGTCCGGAAAAGTCAAAAAATGACTTTTAGAGACAAAATTTTGCATTTGTTACTATAAATAGACTTTTAGAGACAAATTTTGGTTGTCTCAAAATCAAAACTTTTTGCAACCACCTATTTTTGTCTCTAAAAGTCTATTTATAGTCCAAGGCAACGGTGGTAGTTATGGAGACAAAGAAACTAATTTTTGCGACAACACAAATTGGTGTCTAAAAGTTTTAATTTTTGGAACAAATGGTAGTGGTGTGTAAAAGTTTTAGTTTTTTAGGACAAAGGGAAATGGTGGTTAAAAGTTCTAATTTTTGGGACAAATAAAAATAGTGGCTAAAAGCTTATTAAATATTTTTTGAGACAACTAAAATTGGTCTCTAAAAGTTTAATAATTTTTTTTTTTTTTTTTTTTTTTGATTTTGTAACAATTATTCTAAAAATACTAATTTGAACATCAACTTATATTCCTTTCTTGATTTCTCAACAACCAAACAGAAAATATATATCACCAAACCATCCACTCATCTCCAAATTAAAATTCAACTAACCAAAAAATAAAAAAATCTCATCGCATTCAATAACAAACAAATACCATGCTCTAATTCATTAGTACGTAATATCTTGATTGTATATATGACAGAGATTTCAAAAGTATCATTTCCAATTTATAAGGCTAGTGTTATAAGCATTGTTTATAGCATTCAACTGTTCAATGAACAGATTGTTATTAGAATTATATCTACCTACATAACAAAACAACTCAACTCAACTTAACTCATTGCATCTTCTTCTCAATGGTTTCGTTAAAATGGCATTCAAAATCTAGCAGAGAGCTCCCAAGCTTTAAATCGACGCAAGCTTGCAGGACCTGCATAGAATAGGCCAAACTCTCAAATAGATTACCAATTAAAAATTATCCAATAATAGATTAATTTAATAAATTACAATTTAATGTGCCGATTGTAGTATCTGAAGTTCAATTACAAACATTACTCCAGTGAAAACAATTCCTTGTAGAACAGTAAGTAAAAGGAATAACTCCTATGAAAAGTGTAATTATGCAAATATATATATAGACAAAAAGGAGAATATTGTTCTAAATTGCCTACCACACTCCCACGTGAGATACATGTGGGCCTCACACAAATGCACCCCACTGTTTGTCTCTCATGTGATACGTTCTTCAAAAAAATTCTGTCTACTTATAAAAATTCTAAAGAGTGATGCAAGAGACCTCTAAAAAATAGTCCCTAAATTTACCCCTAAGGTGGTATAAATCAGGTCCACAGCTGGTATACATGCAGCAAGTTGTGATGAGTTCAAAACTAATCCTCAGAAATTGTCCTCGCCCACTCATTATTATGTAATCCATTTCCTTCAGAGAGAAAGAGTTCAAAACTAGTCCTCCCCCTTGCTCATAAATTAATGTAATCTTATCTTATAAAATCACTCTAGAAAGTTAATACTCACAATTTTCTAGAAAAGTGAATGTATAGTCCTTTCCTCTTATTTTCTACAAAAGATCAAAAATCCAGTTCAGATTTAACACAAACAATCAAAAGGGACCCAGATCAGGTGCTACTGCCTTGAAGAAAACAATTCAGAAGATACTAAAAGCACAGTGATGTATAACCTGTACTAGCATATACATGTAATCCAATCATATCAATATCCTAAGATTCATCAGATTTATTGAATGAAACAAATATCAATTACTCAAACATTCTGAAAAGATGACTTACTAAGAAGAATCAGTAGAGGGTACTCTTCGACTGATCTGCTGCATCAAGAAGTCGACTTTGGCATTGTATTCCGTGCGATCAGACTCCAAGATTTGAATTCTTCCCACCAGCTCTTCATTGATTCTTCGTTGCTCTTCAGCCTCCCTTGTAACAGCCTCATTATCCCTCTCGAGTTGGGCACAGGTAAGTTTTCCAGATAATGTTGTACTTGGTTTTCGACCACGCCCTAAGCCGCGTATGTAGCCAACTTTTTGTCCAAATACCTCAATAGAAAGTTGCTCATCAGATATCGGGCAAGATCCTTCTTCAATAGCTTTCTCTTGCCGCTTTTCAAGCTTGTACTACAATATTCATTAGTTGAGATAAAATTAAGTATCCATCCACATTTTATTAAGGATATATGAATGAAAGTACATAAAGATTGAATAACTTCGTATGTCATGAATAACTTCTCGCACCTCGGTATTGGGACTATTTGACTTCTCTGTCACATTGTCAAGATATTCGTCATTTTCATTTTGTGAGTCATCATTATCATTCAACTCAAAACCTTCCCCATGATACACCCACCTAGTGTAACTCGTGACCACCCCATATGCATACAAATGAAGTGGATGCATGCATTAGACATAAGGAAGCAGGACTCTGGAGACATCCTTTTTTGTATAGCTGGAAAGCATCACCAAGCAAAGGATATACATCGACAGCATATAAATCAGAGAGATGGAAACCCACAAAACACAAAATGCAATATGTAATGTAACATATGACATGAGATGGCTTTGCAAGAGACAATAAGAACGATAACAAGCAACAAAGGTGACAAAAAACAATGGGCACGGAGAGTCTTATAGTGTCAGATGCAGAAACTAAGCAACAAAGGAGACAAAAAACAATGCTCTTACCTTCAATTCTGCCTCTGGCCAAGCTTTATGAAGATCCCATGCTGACATCATAGGGCAGCACATATCATATCTCTCAAAATCAGACAGTGAACTTAAATAGAGAGAATCTTTAAGGGGAGACACTTCATGCTACAATGACAATTTGACAGTAGCAAATATGACATGCAATTTGATATTGTGTGAGGAAAGACACCTGATATGTTACTGTTCATAGCAAAAACATGCGAGCAAAAACTAGAAAGCATGTGTAAATATGTTACTTGTTGCATAAGTAAGTAGAAAGCATGCCCATATAATATGTGAATAGATATACCTGTACAATTACAGTGTTGATATGCCTTATCTTTTCAACATTATCCAACAGGAATGAATCCGAAGCAAAAAAACCCTTATTCACAAAGTAATGGTTTTCAATCCTTGCAAATGCCTGATGGAACAGAAGATTTATACATATGACAACAAGAAGAAAAAATTCAACAATCTCAAGTAATCACAATTTAAAAGGAACCTACTCATACAACTTTATAGGATCTGCTGGGTGAATTGCACATGGCAATGACTGAGTGATAGCATTAAGAGTAACATCAAAAAAGATTTGTGATGGAATAAAAAGGTATTTAGTACTTATACCAAGGGCATTCAGAATTTGGTATCAGCTGATTTTTATTTATTTATTTATTTTTTTTCAAGGCAAGAATAATTTATTAAGTAAATTTTGGTTCAGTGTGAACAAGTACTTTTACACTTGCAAAGGCCATAAGATGAATAAAATGACTTTGAAAATACAATGTGTAAAGAAATTAAGTTTGTGAAAGTGAACAATCTTTTTCCTTTTTTGAATGGAAAACTTCATCACAGTAGATAGAATTGTGAACACCATAAAAGCTTCACTTACCTCTAATCTAAAATCTTCGTCCCTATACTCGTAAAATTTTGAGGACAAGAAATGAGGAAAAAAGTTCAGAATTAGAAGATACAATTTGGATGTAAGCAGGCATAAAGCAACTGGTAGCAAGACAAATATGGACAATAAAAGAATGTTAATTTAACTAGGCTGCTGATGAAAATAATAGAAGAAATTACCTGTCAGTGGTAATTGCAGAAAATTATTACATAAATGGAAAATTTTATAATTTTAGTTATTAATATTGATAAAATTTACCACTAGTTTGTAATTATTTTTCAACTTTTACACTGATTTGAAATTCCCCCAAAATAATATAATATACAAGAAACTATGATACCCTATACAATGAATTGACTCACCAATGAAAATTTGTCATCATCCCCTTTCTTAATGTTATCTTCATTTGGAAGAAGATGGGCAGTCATTAGTTCCCACTTGGTCCATACTCTAGCAGCTGCATACTAAAAAGGTAAAAATAAAAAATAATAATAAATAAATAAATAAATTAGGGGAACCATAAATTTCTCCATGATAAAGACTACACAAGCAGGCAGGCAGAAGTTCCAGAAAACTGCCAGTAACAGAGTTTGCAGCATAAGAAGAGCAATAACTTCAAAGGTTAGAAGGCTGAAGCATTTCATGTTTGAAAGATATCAAAAATGGTTGGAACGGGTTTTCTAGGAGTCTGATTCTTGGTTGGTGATGGGTTTATTCAATAGTTAAATTAAGACTTTCTGAGCTCATTTACCAGGAGCAGGGAGGGCAAAGCCCTCTCCAAATTTTGTATAGGTAATTTGCATAAACCTCTCTCTTGTATAATTTGCATGTACTTGGGTTGGATGCTGTTCTCTACTCAGAAAGTAGAGCTTTCAGGAGTAAAAATATCAACCAATATTGATGTAAGATGTGAAAGCTTACAACAGGCAAGCATTCACAAGAATCATCACAAACTAACTTAAAGTGTAAATAGTAAGCATGATAAAAGACAGTGTCCTAACTATTTTGTACCCAACTTTGTAATTTCTCCAAGCAACCATGATTCTACTTGAGAATTCCAAAGTGAAGGAAAGCTTATGACAATGGACAATGTAATCAATACATAGAGCTTGTGCCTTAGGAAGTTTATAAATCACCCACCAAGGCAAGTGGGTTGCCTCAGACCAGAAATAGATTTTGTCTTGTTGTCAAATATATTAATATCACTCAATATGCATAAAACATATTTTGTCTTGTGCTCTCTAACAGCTGCCTTTCACCTTAAACTTGGTCCTAAGCGTGTGATATATTAAACTGCGTAATTTTATATGCTATATTCTGTTTTCATTCCACTTATTTCTGTTGACACTTCAAGTACATTTGAGCTCTGGACCTAATTCAGATACATCATTCAATTTAAGTAATGGATTTGTCTAATTGAGGCCTACAAAATTTCGGATTTTGTTACCTTAGACAGCAGGAAATATTGAGTTCTTTGCAATGCTTTGCCAATGAATTGACACTTCTGTGTAGGACTCTATGGTTGTACATCTATGTGAAACTTATATGATTTCTAAAAAGTTTGAAGTAACTCATTGTAAAGTTATAAACTTACATTATCGCGTGTCCTTGCTGTAATCTGATTCTATCTTTTTCAATAGAAAATTGCTAAACATTGAAGTATATTTTTACTTATTTATTTGTCACTCCAAAACTATCATTGTCAAGTTATTGGCGAGTATATAACCCAAGACAAATGCACTGTTATATATCTTTGTTTATTGTTCTTTTCAGCTATTAATGTATCTTCTTGGCACTTGATTTGCAGAGATTATGACGTTTCAAAGCAAATTCGAGCAGGATAAAAAAAACAATTATAAAAAATTGACTTCAAATTTTACATCCATATGTCACGCATTGAACTAGAGAGATCTCCATTCACTTCAATTCCAACAAACCATGTAATGGAGAGAATCTAAATTTGCAAATAGAAACCCCAAGATACTTTCCACTCAAATCTCAGAATGTTAAAAGCATCCAAGAGGCTGCTGCTACATCAAATCGATTATACAGATACATACATGATAATCGATTATCATATTCATTTTCATTTTCTAACTCCCATTCATAAGTCGATTATAATATATATGATAGGCGATTCATAAATATGATAGTCGATTATCAAATAAGTTGATAATATATGGTACCTGATCGGAATCGCTACCGGAGATACGCCGGGAAATCGGAGAATCAAGGAGAGATGAGGCGGCAACGGAGCGATCCAGCCCTGGACAGAGATGCTTTGAGACAATGATGAACCACAGATCAGAAGCAATCAACGAGATCGTTGAGAAGAACCAGTGAATTCATATATCGAATCCGTAGAAAAGAGATGCATGAAAAGAAATTAGGGATTTGATAGAGAGAGAAAAAGGGAGAGAGAGAGAGAGAAAGTGATGAAACCTTTTTTTTCATTTTGTTCCCGACTATATGAGTTCAAAAATTGATATATAAAATACAATAATATATTATTTGGGTTTATTAGGGACCAATTAAAATTGTAGGAATATGATTTGGATTTATTAGAGACCAACTAAAATTGTAGAGAAAAGTGATTGATCCTTTTTCAACTAAACAAATTTGTCTAGAAAATGTAAAAATATGATTAAACATATTTTTTAAAAAATTCTTTCATTTTGTCCTTAAAAGTATAATTTTTACAAACAAATTATTTTTGTCTCTAAAAATTTGTCTTTAAAACCTTAATTTCTTGTAGTGACCCATATTCGGTCTTTATATTCTATAAACAAACATGGCCTTTCAGTTATAACTAAAAGACCATGATGGATCATAACTATGCATCACTTATGACATAGCAAAAAAATATTTCAATTATAATAAAAATAACAATCACAATAAGTAATAATTGACTCATAAATAATCTTACAACGGGACAACAGTGTGAAGCAAAACTAACATTATAACCAGTCATAGTAAAATAATCTAATCAAATAAATCTTCGGCTAGAATTAAAACAAAAAAAAAATCACAACTCATAACTAGATCATAATAATTTACACCATAATAATCATGATGACTGAGAGGGTGATTTATGATCTGGAATTGGGCCGAGGTAACGGCCGAGAATAGAGTTTTTTGGAACTCTATAAGATAGAGAATTCTAAGCATAGCGCTTTATGTAGCCTAGTTGAGAATGGAAAGAAATTTCCAATATCCTAGGGACAGTGGGAGCGATGTGCCTACTAATGGATTACTCCATTAGAGAAGAATACTCTACATTCTTAGTTGCGTGGTAGCGAATGTGAAAATTTTCCGCGTCATCACTGGGTGATTGAGAGGGAAACATTCATGATTGCTCCGCAAGATGATAAAGAGCCTAGGATAATGCCTAAGGCTCTAGTCCCCTATTTTTAGAAAGTGGATCAATGTTGCGCAGTTTAAGACAAAGTTTTTGAGGATTAACAATTTTTATAATTTGGTTGACTTTCCATTATAACGCAAAACTGTTATAAAGTTATGCATAATTTGGATAGTCATTGTTGAGGCGTAAGGCTCGCTAGATACCGAAAGGTCGCACCAGTGTAGACCATGAGAAGACTTCCTCCTGAGAAGTGAGATTATTTTGACTTAGGCTATGATTGACATAAGTTCGGAACATTGATTTGTGGACATTGTGACCCAACTTTCTCGTTAGAGAATTGGATAAGTAGATCCGTAGGGATTTACCTTCTGCTTTTATGGTGAAAAGTTAGGAGCGCAAAAAGGTTGCCAGTTCCAATAAATCGTTTACAGCCTAAAACAGTTATCCAAATAGTGGTTCTTAGATTTTGTCAAGCCATGATAGGCCAACGATGATCGATGAAGACCACTGAGGCATGCTCAATGGTCCAAAAGAAGTTTTTCCTTACTTAGTCATTATGAGCCAGGAATTTATAAGGTTGTCGCCACCTAGGGTGGGCAGTCCTCTATTTTAGATATGATGGACATGGGTGATGTAATTTATATGCTAGGATGTACGATCCTTAGGGATTGCTTTGGGAGAATTCATGTTTTGTCTTCGATGACTTACATAAGGAATATCCTAGAACGATTCTAGATGCAAAATTGCAAACCCATTGACTTACCTATCGGTAAAAGCCAGAGCCTTAGCTATTGAGTGAATCCTCGGATTGTCTTTGGGAGAAATAGATGACCTATATTCTTTGATCTTTTCTTTGTTGTGGGAGTCTAAAGTACGTTATGTGGGTGTATTCGGCATGATAAGTGTTATCTCTGGTAAATGGTCAACTGAGTTGTTTAGACATTGACCTTGCTCATTAGACTGTGGATAAAATGCTTTACTAGTAGTATATTAATTTGCTCCTTGTAAGATTCAATACGCTAGTTGGGCGCATCTGTGTTAGTTGGGCGTATTAAAAATGAACGCAAATTGGTCACTAAAATATCTTTAGAGAGGTTATTGCGCAAGAGGTAGTGATCTTAAATTACTTCATGTGAGGCGCACATGGTGGATTCCGTTGTATATACTTATTGCAAGAGGTGCTGATAAGGCTTATGTTTGGAATCTATAATTGCGCAAGCTGTGGTCATTTTTTTTAAAATTGATCACTTATTTTGAGATGATGGGATGTTGACACTATTGTGGTTTGTGTCATAATGATAAGCAGATGATGATGTCAGCAGGCAAGATTGGCTCACTCACACGAGCAATTACCCTTGGCGCTTGGGAGCGAGCAAGGATGAGACTAGTGATTTATTTTTATTTGGAGCAAAGAGAGGCTTAAATAATCTACTATGCATGTCGCCTTGGTTACAACCAAGATGAGGTCGTGTTAAGGACCAAACATGGATGTTAGTACCCACTTTCCATGTTGTGCCTGTTATGATTAGCCAGATGCAAGATCTCATTTGGCGCCTGGAAGGCGAGCAAATAGAGAATTCGGGTTAGGCACTAGAAAGCGACTAGACTAATAGCTGTACGGTGTATCGAGTATGACGTCACTCTTTATGGAAGAGTTACTCCATCGTAGCATGTATTCATACTGTATGTGCTTGGCGACCGAGTAATGAGGTGAGAGAATGGATCCATGTTTCCTCACCGTGTGAGTCTTACGTGTCATTATTCATATGACTTTCATTTATGTACCCTTTTGTGACTTTTGACTATGTCATAAGGTAATGGGTTGATGTTCTGCTACTTTGGTATGTTGCTTGCGATCATGTATAATTCGGCCTTAAGGGACATCACTGGAAAAGCGGTCAATCCTAAACTAAATGGCATGAGGGCAAAGGGAAGATCATCTAGTATTACACCACTGTTGTATATTCACTGCCGGCAACTCACATCACTCTGTATGAGAGGCGGATTGAATGTGAATATATTGCAAGAATTGAGAGGGTCAAACATGTTCTTTTTTGAGGGATTAGAGATGTTTTTTTTTTTTAACCGGTATAATTAGATGGGTCTGGGGTATATGAGACACTATTTCTGTTTTTTTTGGATTGATGTCTCTATGCTAGCTCATTCTGAGTTTTTAGTATAGAGCTCCCACATGCAGGTGTTCTCAGCAGTCGCACGGTACATTAGCTAGTATGAGATTGTTCTTTTTGGGGAGATTGAGATAAGAGATGTGGCAGTGTCATGCCAACTCATGTGCCAGTAGGAGATGTTAGAAATTGGGCGCCCATGTGGCATGACCCTTTGAACCTGAACCTTTTGAACCTTATCCATATAAGTTTGAATTTGAATTCAAAACTTATTTGGATAACCATTCAGGATATCTATATCTATTATATCAGTAGATATGGATAGATGGATAGATTGATATGTATGTGGTTATATATCAGATTATATAGCTAATCTAAAGATATACGTATATCAGATATACACGTTATGTGATTTTTACCTATAACCTTTTTTTCCCCAGACTCTCTCTCGCTGACTCTCTCCCAGAAAACAACGATCAAGCCATTTTGCACTGTAACTTGTGTGGGTGATACTCATTTTGTAGTATCACTCCACTGCTGAGTTCGTTGACTAATCAGATTTTGGAAGCACGTGATTTACCCACGAGGTTGTATCATTAAGGTATGATCCGAATTATTTTTATTCGCTGCGTTAATTTATAATGCTTTTTGATTTACAAACCTTAATGTTATCTTTTTTAGGTAATAAAGAACGTTATTACAAAAACAAGGTCCAACCATATCGGCCACCAAAATGGGTCTTAACAAATCAAGAGGATCTTCATATAGCTCCAGCTTTTCGTGTTAGTCTGATCCAATATATGCAAGTGCATTCACGCTTTGGCTTGCTTCGTGGAATATGTGTTTGATTGTGCAACCCATTTGATGAGTGAGAAATTTTGTGTCTTCCATTAGAGCTCGGCATGGACAGTTTGGTTAAGTACCTTCATTGATGAGTGTCACTACATCTTGACAATCTGTTTCAATCACAACATCGCACCATCCTTTTTCATGAATTATTGTTGTGCGACGATAGATAGCCCAAATTTGTGCTTCACGGATAGTAGTCTAGTAACAACCTTAATGTTATCACCACTGCAGTGGAGGCTAACAATAATAATTAAAAACAAATTCTTCAAGTGTAATAGCATTTAACAGTGTATATACTTTCACGAATATTTTCAACAGTGTATATACTAAGGAGTTTAGTTTGAGGGCCAAAGAACAGAGATCTTGATGGGAATTAACAAATATGTCCTACAAAATGTGTTGGTTCAGAACATAAAAGAGTGGTCTGCTCAATCAAATCAACTACATTATAACTTTTTAAATTAATACTTGATAAATTAATTATTTTTTTAAATAATAAAATTGTCTGGTCCCAACTCGAGACCAAGTGCTAAATTAATAATCTCCATAAAATTATAAGATAATAAATTTCAAATATAACTTTTGTACTTTATAGCTCCCAAATATTTTATAAATTAATAATTAGCTAAAAGGTACATAACACATTTCATCTGTCATCGTTCTTTTCGTGACACATCGGGTCTTTATGGAGACAATTGTTGAAAAAATTAATCTAAGAAGGGTATAAGATAATAGATTTAGTGAATATTTTTTATTGGTGAGAGATACACTTTTAGTGAAATAGTTGGTGAGAAGTCTTTTTGTTGTTTTGGAGGACATTTTGTTTTCAATTTTATCCCTTAATATATATATTGATTTTTTTTTTTTTTGACTATCTATTCATTTTTTTAACTATTTATTCAAATATTTTTTTATCTATTTAAATTTTTGACTATCTATTCAATTTTTTCTCCTTATCTATCCACATTTTATTATTTGTTCAATTTTTTGCTTATCTTCTAAATTTATCTGTCCAAATTTTATTATCTGTTTAATTTTTTTTCCCTGAATTCTATTTGTTGATTTTTTATCTGTTCCAATCTTTGTTATTGAAATACACCAAGCCACTATCTGTTTAAATTTTGAATATCTGTCATTTTTTTTAATCTGTTGCAATCTGTTTCATCATCATCATCAATAACAACAACAACTTAAACAAAAAAACAAAAAAAACAATTCCAATCTGTTGAATTTTTATACATACACAAAGATATAGAGAGAGAGGTCCTATCTGTTGAAATCAAA